CTTTGGAGCTGTTTCCTCCCATCTCCTTCGCTGTTTGTGTTGGATGCAGCAGTTCTGTGGGCAGTTGCTGATGATTTAGTGACAAAGTGATGAGCACACGGGGATTAGCTGAGCACGGTGTGGGTTTTTGGGCTGTGTCACAGACAGTTTATAGGATTCTCCGAGACAATGTTGGGAGTTACAGCAAAGATGAATGGAGAGGAAGGCAGTCACCAGAGCAGCTCATGCCACAGAGGAAAACAACTGCCAGCCTGCCTTCCCTAGGAAACCCATTGTGTAAATATTTGTGTAGGAGCCTCCAAAGGAGATTTAAAGTCTTGTGATAAAGGTAACTAAAATGTCCTTTCCTTGAGAAAAAGAGCTGCGATTCAGAGGATCCCATGAGTAACCATGAGAGATATTTCCTTTCTGTAACATCCCCATATCCGAGTGAACAAGCGTGTACGTCAGGTCCTGTTGTCACTGATGGATCTCAAAGCATTTTGCAAAGGAGGTCAGTGTCAGTTTTCCCATCCACGAGATGCAGAAGCCAAGGAGCAGGGAAAGCACACATGCCTTGGGCTAAATCAGCTCTCCTGCACACTAATCCAGCATCTCATCCACACAAACACATTTCTTCACATCTCCACGTGCCTCACAAGCACCATCTGTGCTTATGTATTGGAGATATATCATCCCTAGCCTTTACACACTCATTTATATAAATGGCAGAGGTTTTTAAAAGCTCTCGTGTTCAGCTCTTCAAGTGCTTGGGGGTCACACCACATGTGCAGGCATTAAAGGAACTGGCAGATTTTCAGAAAAATCTGACCTACTGAGCTGCTTTGGAAAAAAAAAAAAAAAAAAAAAAAAAAAAAAAAAAGTCTGTTCTGTACTTTGGTGCATAATTTCTATCTCAGTTCATGGTAAGTCTGGCCCATTACATGTATGTGGCCTATATTCACACCCGGCGTGTGCAGCTCCCTGCCTTATCGATGAACTGTTAGCACTCAGGAGTGTGGAACACAGTCCCATCTCTTCACACATCTTGAGAAGCACTGGAAATCTGGGGGGTTGGTGTGGATACAGCAGCCCGGCTGAGCTACAGCTGAGCAAGCAGCAGGCATAGCAGTAGAGCTCACCTAGGAGTTATCTCACCTACCTTGAAATGTCTGAAAGTTCCCTCTGCTTTGAGCATCAAGGGCATCTCAACTGTTAAGGTGAACTAGACACCTGACTTTTTGCTTTCTGGAGTTAGGGTGAAGGGCTCTTACTTCCAGAAGGAAACTAGTGGCTTGGTACAGGAGAACTCACTCTGAGTTTGCTGTGAAACCCAGGACTTGATCAGGAGCAAACTCCTTTACTTTCTTGTTGCATCAGGAGTCCTTCTCTTCTGTCAACAGCTCTGCTCAACTGTTGCTTCTTTTCTCTTTGCTGGGATTTTGCTTTTCCATGATGAAGGGGAAGCCATGCCTTTGTGCCTCTTAACTCCTAGTTCTACTCATCCTTCTTTGGGTAAAAGCGTTGGGAGTGGAAAACCTTGTAGTCATCCTCCATCCAAACTATGGTGCTGCTCAGCTCATGCTTAGTGACCTTCTGCTCCCACTTTACCATCTACAGGGCTTTGATGTTGATTCCCTTTCTCTGGTTGCACAGAGAAGCAGAAGGAGTGCCTTGACTTGTCCTCCTAGAACTGGCCACAGTCCACTTCATCACCAGGCAACAGATACCACTGATTAGCTAACGTGCAAAGCATGAGAAGCAGCATCTTTCCTGCAGACAGACTGTGCCAAACCAGTTCCTTCTCACTGTGCTTTCAAATGTTCCTGGTTTTTGCTCTGACAAGCTAGCAGAGTTTGTATTGATCTGATGATGCAAAAAAGCACATAGTGTGGGCTTCAGAACACCTGGAGGAATAATGAAACAGAAAGGAGGGAGGGCAGGACCATCATATTTTAGCTTATATCGAGTAGGAAGCCTGTCTTCTACCTTCTTTGTTTTTCTTCATGGAACATTTATTTCAAAGGGAAGTGAAAAGCCCCGTGTCTGGCCATCCTGTCTACGGAATGAAATCAACTGCAGATCTCCAGCCACATACACTGTGGTCCTTCTGACCTTCAGGGTATTTCAGAACTTCACTTTATTCAGACACTTCATCTTACCAGCTTTCTTTAAGTAGAGAAGCACTAAGGGGATACAAAACTCTGGGTGGGAAAAGCAGGGAAAGCTAAAGAATCATAGAATCCTATAATAGAATGGTTCCGGTTGGAAAGGACCTTAAGGATCATCTAGTTCCAACCCCCCCTTGCAGGGACACCTCCCACTACACCAGGTTGCTTCAAGCCCCATCCAGTCTGGCCTTGAACTCTTCCAGGGATGGGGCATCCACAGCCTCCCTGGGCAACCTGTTCCAGTGTCTTAACACCCTCACACTAAAGAATTTCTTCCTATTAGCAAATCTAAATTTCTCCTCTTTCAGTTTTAATCCATTACCCCTTTTCCTCTTGCTACCAGCCCTTGTAAGAAGTCCCTCCCTAGCTTTCCTGTAGCCTCTTCAGGCACTGGAAGGCTGCTATGAGGTCTCCCTGGAGCCTTGTCTTCTCCAGGCTGAACAACCCCAACTCTCTCAGCCTGTCTTCACATGGAAAACAAGTGCTTTGATGTAACAATAAAGCACAAAGTCAAACATCTCAGAAATTTTTCCCTCTTCTCCCTTTCACCTTCTTTTCTTCTCAACTTGGGTATAACAGCTGGAGTGTAACATGCAAGAGCTGGACTGTGTGTCCTTCCCTGCCATGGTGTGTCACTGCCACGATAAACTCACTGCTTTATCTCTTGCCTTGAGTAAATTAATCTTAAAACTGGGATATCAGTGTGTGCTCACCATCTTGGGGATGCAGCAAATATGTGACAGTAGGAGGACAAGCGAGATGCTGAAGCAGAGCTCAGCCACTCAGAGTTTTGTCTTATTCAGAGCAGGCCAAACTATTGCAAAGCCCTCCTGCGAGCCTCTGGTGTAGCTTTAGAACTGAGCTGAAAGCTGCTTAATACAGAGTTCATAGCAAAAAATCTCACTCACCAAGTAGCATACCTTATGAGAAACCATATTTTGTGTAATTTTACTTACTGGAGAAAGCTCTTGTAAGAAGACAATTTATTGCCATGGCAGTAACTGGCTGACATTTATGAGAAGTCTGGTTTTACAAGGCTTTCCTTGGGCTGCAATGCCAGGGCTCCAGTTGTGCTTAGGAAAATTAGAAGGAAGGGGGTGTTATTTAGGGTGCACGATACTCCAGAGGGATGCTGGTGTGAGTTAACAACAGGGGTGAAGTCTGCTTGGATCACGTGGAATCGTGTGTGCCAGGATTGTAAATTTGGGATGAGTTGAAGGGAAAATCTCATTTTCCCTGAAGTTGTCTCATAATAAACTCCATATCTTGCACAGCCAGCTTGAGGCTCAGTAGAGTTGTTGGCACATCTGAATTTTTTGCTGTGGGGAAGAGGCTAGGGCCAGGATAAGGCACAGTCTGTCCTGGCCTAGGAAAGGTGGAGATGTATGTGGGACAGAGCTGGCAAGAGGGAGGACAGGAGCACCCGGGAGACCCCAATGGTCTCCCGTGCTGAGAGCCAGCAACAGGCAGGGTGAGGGCAATGCAGCTACAGATGGCCAAGGCTGCAGAACCGTGGCACATGAGTGGGTGATTTTTAACCACAGAGCTAAACCAGAAAGCTGAGCTGTCCTCAGTTAACCCCCCAAGCCTACATCTCCCTGCCCTCTGCAAGGCGGGTTTGCAGTGGTGGCTCAGCTCAGCTGTCACCCGCAGGGAGAGGTGATGGATGAGGGCAGAAATGCTCAGAGTGCTGCAGCAGCTGCATCCTCGACCCACCCTGTCAGGCTCCCGTGGACCCTCTGCTCGGTTCTAGTGTTGCTTTAGGACTTGTCATGGCAAGAAATATCATTACATTGAGCTGAGGATGCATATAGTGCTCAGGAAAGCACCTTGCTTGGAGGGTGGTGGATCCCTGGGGGCCTGATCCACACTGTGAGGCTGAGTTGGGTCCTTGCTGCCATAGGTCCAGGCATGCACAAGTGCCGTGGGGTCAGCCCACACCAAGGGGGCTGCCTGCATGCTGCTTAAGTCTGCTGAGGAAGAGATTTCCAAGGGCCAAAGAGGCTTAGGCAATCCACATCCCATTAGCAGATAGTGGGATTGTGCCTGTATGCGCTGAAGGGCTTTGTGGGGCTGAATGGGGGACCTGCAACTCTGCAAGGCAAAGTTGCTTATGGTGCTCTGTGCAAGAGGAGAGACAGGAAAGGACTTGACCAACTGTAAAGGAGTTTCCTCAGGCCACAGCTCATCTATTTCTCAGCACTCTAATCTACAGGACCTTGGAAATCTGCTGCAAGTCCTCTATGCATAAAGGTTTTATTGACATTATTTGTTAACAGTTGTAACAAGCCATACTGATATGGAAGCACTTTTGGAACAGTGATTCCTGCGGTGCATCCTAAATAGGACATCCCAAGTAGGACAAGCCCATTTTGGGACTCAGGCCCAGATGAGCAGCTGGTGCAACCCTGGGAAGCACCATTCTGGCCCAGGGAGGAGCCCTGCTTGCTCAGTGATACCTCCAGCATGGTTGAATCATGGCCATTGAGGAGCTTGGGGCAAACTTGTCTGGATGTCTCCTCCACTGACCAAGTCAGCTGTGCAGCCACTATGAAATTTTGGGGTCCCTGTGCTACAAACTGTCCCCTTGGTCCCATTTTTCACACTGGAACAATCTCCTCCTCCTGGCAGCTGCGCCTCACGCTGCTCCGCAACAGCTACCGGGGTGGCTTTTCTCTTTCTCCTTCCAGCCTTCTCTTTCCCCGGATGCCAAAAGAAAGGGGATTAATTTAAAAACAACAACAACAGAAAACCCATGAACTGAAAGCTCCACAGCCAAGAAAAGCCAGCAGCCACGTGCTGAGCTGGAAAGCCCAGCACTCTGACCCATGTTCCTTTTCTCTCTTGCAGATGACGGAGGGTCGCAGATGCCAAGTGCACCTCCTTGATGACAGGAAGCTGGAGCTCCTCGTCCAGGTAGGAACTGCCTCCTTCTCCATGCCATAGTTTTACTGCAGCCATGGATTTTCACTGGGGTGAAGACATAGAATGGTTTTCAGCTGATTTTCTCAGCAACCTCACACTGTGATTGCATGCAGAGCTCAGGGAAGCTGCAGTTAGTGCTGGGTGGGCAGGATCTGCAAAGATGTGTGTGTGGGAAGGACTAATCCAACACACATTTTGCTTTTTTCTGTGCCAGAACAGTCCCAATCACTGCCATTGCAAGAGAAAGGCAGCTCTGGTCGTTTTTTTGACACTGTTACTATATCACTTAGCTTTGAGAAATTGTTTGCATCTGCTTAAAATACCCCCAGCCTTTGTTTTTATCTGCTTTACTTGCCATTCTAACTTGCTGGGGTACGATGCTGGGCTCCACACTGGAGGTGGCTGTCAAACACAAACATGCATTAAAGTAAGCTTGTGCTCTATCTGTCTTATTTTTCTTTTTTAAAAAAAATGGAAACTTATGAAGAATGAGAATGTGACGCTGGCTGTGTAATGATGGGCTGATGGCAGCTGGAGCATCCTGAGCTTTTCTGATAATTTTGGTTTGTGTCGATCACCAAGGGGTTAATAAAAAGAATGAGAAGAATGTCTTTCCTTTTACAAAGGCTTGGGCACTGGCCACGGGCAGCCCAAGAAGCAGGAAATGAAACTTCCCATAGAACCCACCCCTCCCCCCCAAATTCCCACTGCAGTTGATAAGCTGGGAGGGGTGGGGGGCAGGATCCTGCCCAGCAAACCTGAATGAGGATTTTTGAGGGTGACTTGAATGGCCGGAAGCACATCCAGCCTCGCTTTCTGGAAAGTTGCTTAAAATATATCATTAACATTCTCTTAATGGGTAACATTTTTCAAGTACATAGTCACCGAGGAGGTGAAATCCCTCAGCTCCCCTGCCACTCATTGCAGTCAACAAGTGACAGGCCAGGGCTGGAAGGAGAGCAGCTAAATCATAAGATCATAGAATTACAGAAGGGTTTGAGGTGGAAAGGGTCTTTAGAGGTCATCTAGTCCAACTGTCCTGCAGAGAGTAGGGACACTTTCCACAAGATCATGTTGTTCAGAGCTCTGTCCAACCTGACCTTGAAGAGAATGGAACTTCTACCACATCTCTGGGCAACCTGTTTCACTGTTTCATCACCCTCATTGTAAAAAATTTACTCATATTATGTAGTCTAAATCTACCTTCTTACAGTTTACAACCATTAGCCTCTCTCCTATCACTCAGGTTGAGTAATTAGAACACCATACCAATGGTCTCTGCAGGGTGAACATCCCTGGAACGGGCTGGACTGGGCTTGCTGGGCTCAGCAGCTGGCTGGGGGAAGTTCAGCCACCTCCATCAAAAGGGCACAGCACTTGGCTTCCTATTTCGTAGAAATGCCTTTTAAAATTTTTCTTAGTTCAATGAAAAATGAATGGGCTAATGGGGAACAGCACTGCTCACGACATTAATAATCACAATTTAAAACATAATGGAGGAAAGCCTTATCAGCTGCCCTGGCCAACCTGCTTGTTTGGGATTTTTATCAACAACAGCCAAAAAAACACACAAAAAAGCCACACAAAGGTGACAGCTGAGGAGGCTGGTTTGGGAGGCTCTGTGTCCATTTCTGAGTGAGCAGAAACAATATAATGATTTATTTTTTTTTTAACTGTTTGATCACATCTTCAATGGGAATTTCTAGTGATCAATACAGGAAGCAAATTGCTCTGTAAATCACACTAACTAGTTTGCAAGTGACCCATGGCTGAATTTTATTCATGCAATAAATCATTTTGCTGTTTTCAAGTAACGTATGAATGGGAAAAGGCAGGAGGTGTGATTATGAAAAATTTGTGCTCAGAAAAAGCAGCAACCTGTGTTCTGTGTGAGTTGATCCAAGTCTCCAAGCAGCACCCTGCCCATAAGTGTACAGTATAGTCCACTGAGGCATCTCGGATGCTTTGCTGGTTAAGTGAGGCTTTGCAGTGCTGTTAGGTAGCTTCTGCTCAGTGTGATAGTAAATAAATTGCTTTTGGATGGAGCAGATGACAGAGGAAAAGGATGTTTGGATTCAAGTGTGTCTCTGATACTGATGATCCTTGAGAATGTGGACACAACACTTTGGTTTGCCTGCCTGGAAACCACAGACAAAGCCACCAGCTTTGGGATGGTCCTGGGGCTCTGCCTGGGACAGGAGCAGGTTGATGCTACCCAGATGTACAGTGATTTGCCCTGGCAGGTGTCCCAAACAACTAGGCTCTCTCCAGGAACAATGTGCACTTTGCATACTGTGCCCATACTGTTATTTTTCTTCTTACCTTATCTCCTAATTGAACTGAATTAGTGTCACTGTTTGACTCAGGTCTGACAACAACGCTCTCGATCCCCTCCCCCTCCCACCCAGGTAGGGAAGGAGAGAGAGAAAAAGAGAGAGACTTGGCTGGATTGAAAACTGAACTACACAGCTTTAATTAAAACACTAATGATAAAAGAAAATATATATACAATTATATACAAATGTGTTCAGATATGTGCAAAAGCCTCTCGCCTCCCCCCACCCCCAGCAACTCCCACAGCATCTCCTAAGCTGGGAACAGTCCCAAAAATCCCAGAGCTGCTGCTGGAGAGAGCACAGAGTGATGAGGGTCAGGAGAGCTCCAGCCTGGGGGTCAATGGTGATGGATGGACGGAGTCCTCCCCGGACACCGGCCATGGAGGGAAGAGAAGGGAAGAAGAAGCAGGAAGGAAATTTCTTCTGTGATCTCTGACCTTCCTCTGAGCTCACGTAGATACATGGAATGGAATATCTCTGGCCAGTTTTGCTGTCTGTCTAACTCAGCCTCATACGGGGGTCACAGATCTCCCCGTAATGTCTGAGCCGGCAGAGTGAAGGTGCAGCCTTGGAGACCCAGCAGTTAGAAAAACATTCCAGCTGTTATCAGTCTTAGTTGGGACACTCTGGTACTAGTTAAAAGGAAGCTTACTGAAGGAAAAAAAAAAAATCAGTAAAAGGAAAAATAGCTTCATCCTGGCTCAAACCAGGACAATAAGAGACTAAATAAAATCTTCATCCAACCTTGAGCTTCTGGCTGTCACTTCAAAGACATGTTTTTCTGTGGGTGCCTTGCCACGAGCTGAACCAGAGGGCTGATTTGTTGGTTTATGCCATGAAAGAGATTCTCCCATAGCTGTGTTGGGCCTTAGCATCTGGACCTACATTGGCTTGAATCACTCAGGACCCAGGCTCTCAAGTTCTCATGTGAAATTTCCTCCTTTCCACCAACCTCAAGCTTTCTTGGAAGCTTTTCCATAGGTAATTTCATGCTCTTATGGCAAGTTTAGGAGACATGGTTGGGAATCAGTAGAACTGATTTCTCTGCCAGAGGTGAGATCAAGACACATCCTCACCTGGATCTGGCTTTGCACAGCCTTGCATGTGTTACACCAAGTGTGATACCAACTCTTAAGAGAAGGGTTCAGGGATCCTGCTGCTGTGTTTTGGTGTGGGGGAAAAATGGCAGAAGAAGCTGGGTCTGACTGAAGCGGGAAGGTGGGTACAGCTCCCTCGGATGGATGGAGAAGGGCTCCTGGAGCATCTTGAAACTGCTTAGGCCAGTGACTCAGGGGAGCTGAAATTATTTTCTCTCCTGCTGCCTCCAGTGCTGCTGGGCAGAAGCAGATGCATCTGGGAATGATCAGGGTGTTTGCAAAAAGCACTGTATTAAGCAAATGTACTGCCTTTTTGTCTGCAAATTAGCTGTGATCAGACTCAGGGCTTTATGAATATGGCATTTCAAACGTATCAATTGGTGGGTAACAAGGACCATACCTTGAGCTGCAGGAGGACAGCAAGTGGTAACTGTGCTCCTGTGGTTACTCACAGGAATCAGCCTTGGCTCTGTGCAACAGCTCCACCAGACCAGATTGAAACATTTCACCACCACAAATTCTCTCCTGAAATGACAAACCCCCCTCAGACTGGTCACACAGCTATTGCCAGCAGGACCCCCCACACATGTATGTTTTATTTGCAACACTGAGACCCAAAAGTAAGGTTTTGGCTCAGAGGCAGCATTTATAACCCCTTTCTGTGAATGCTGGCTTGCTTTGGTGTTGGCACGTAACACAAGGGTTCGGGGTTGCCACCATGAGGAACGTGATCCAGGGTTTAGTCAATCAAAGGTTCTTGACTAAAGTCTTCTCCTCCCAAGTTGAGCAGCTGCAGAGTGGTTCAGCAGCAGCTAGGGAAAAGCAGAAACACAGGCTTTGAGGATAAAAGAAAGCCCTCCCCAATGTGTTTTGTCAGATAAATGCTGAAATTTAGAAGGGCTAATCATAAATGGAGACAGAGGTGGATCATATGGAAATCTCTTCCTGAGGGTCTGAAACTCAAAGTCTGTTTAACTTGGGATTAGGAAGAAGAGTTGCATTTGGTATGTGTTTCATTTGATAAACGCCTGTTGATGCTCTGGTGTGTGTGGCAAGTTTACATAGGATATTTTTTGACAGAATTTTCTTTCTGAGCAGGAGCAGAGTGTGGCTCCTTGGATCTTCTTACAATCTGTTTCTGTTTGATGCATGTTTAGTTTCTAACACAGATGGTTTAATATTTATTTATTTTGTTTGTTTGGCTTTATCTAGCTAATCCTTTTCAGCAAGTCCCTTTTCTTGCTTCTGGAAAATGGATTTGCTCACATTCCATGCTCTCAGCCTCCCTATCTGTTGTATTATTTCCCTGTGACCGTGTATCATTTGTCTGCTGCACATGAAAGGTTTGTACTACTTCATTTAAAGACTTTTGTGTAACTGGCAATTCGTTCCTTTTCATGTGTTTTTTTATAAACACAGCTTTTTTCTGGGCTGGCTGAATTGGGTGGCCAGGCACCCTCCCAGCTCCTGCACCAGCTGCTGGTGCCTCTTATCTGACAGCAGCTCCAGCAACTGTCATCCCAAAGTGTTAAGCTTCCTAATTATTTCTCTCTGGAAG